GTACCTCAGGTTTACGGAGGCTACGTGACCAGCTTGTTGCTCAGAGGTGAAGAGTCTCCTATAAAATGTGGCGCCATCCTCTCACCCATCACTGACTTTGAATTATACGGTAAGACTTGTTTTTTTTTTTTTTTTTTTTTTTTTTTTTTTTTGTTTTATTTTGTTTATCTGTACCTTTAAATGTAGAAAATGTTAGTGTCTGCTGTGTGTGGTGAACAAATACGGTAACTCAACACAATCATTCAAGGTCAGGCAGAGCTGTCAGAATGTATTGAAAAGAAAAGAGAAAGACAGATTGCAGATCTCGCACCTTTACTCCTTTCACRGGAGTTCTTTCACTGACTGCGTTACGCACATCTGTGCTCCGAGAGGCAAAATAAAACCTATCAGAGCGCCGGCGTGGCTGCATACGGAACCCAATCAAACACAGCCCTCACCTCAGCTACCCAGGAAAATTTGACGTGCGATATGTGGAGTTGTTGGGGGGGGGGGGGTATGGGAGGAGGAAAGGTGCTATTTTAGCTGCTGAAGCAACAAGTCGGGGAAACGGAAAATTAAAGAGGGGCTGGGTGTCGAGGTGTGACCAGCGATTCATCTGTTTGATTTTTCTCGCTTTGCCRGAGGGCATGGGAGACTTGTGAGACACTGTGTACGCCTGGAATCGGAAATGAGGAGCATTTGCAAACCACCTCAAGTCTAGAAAATATGCAGATGGTTGAATATATATTTTAATATGCATACAAAACTCATTCACAGTGCCCAGGAAACATGAGCAGCATTATTGTCAGTGTTGTTGTTTTGGAGATTCTGTTTGATTAAATGTCGCAGTAAAATATCAACTGAAACTTTTTGGGCTTTGCAGCCTCTGCTTTTTCTGAGAGATAYCTTGGGCTGCCTAAACCAGATCCAACAGCATACACGGTAGGATTTTATTGYATTTTGTACCTGACATTGTGGGAATTACTGAAGTTGTAATTTCATTCTGTTTGTGTCTTTAGAAGGCAAATTTAGCTTACAGAGCATCTCGATTTATGGATAAGAAATTCCTTATTATCCACCCAACAGCGGATGGTATGTCACAAAACTTTAAATTCTAATAAATAAATAAAAGAGAACACTCTAACCTTACCCTTTTTTTATCCGTTTCCCTAGAAAAAGTTCATTTTCAACATACAGCAAAGTTCATCTCCCAGCTCATTAGTGAAAAGGCCAACTACACCTTACAGGTTTGTGGTTTTCCTTTTTTTTTAACTGCTGTTTGGGTTTTCTTCCAGATTTTGACAGCTCTCTGATCCCTTACATAGTTTCACTGCAGACAGAAAACAAGCTGTTTCCAATCTCTGCACTTCACATCATGAATAATAAGATCTCCTGAAGGCATAAAACATTATTACACAGAGGATAAAAAAAATCAAATCTTATCACTGATTAAATAGGTGAGTTTAACTGAAATCTCCACCAATCAGAGAATGAATTTATTCTGAGTCTGTGCTTTTACACTTTTGTCTAAAGCAAAAGCCTTTTGGGTAGGTTTAGTATTGAGGATCACATACTCACTTTAATATAGTTGCTCCTGTTATATGCATAAAGGTAAATAACAATGTCTAAGCGTGCTTTCCTCACATGATCACACATGCTTTAAAACAATTAAGTAGTAGATTGTTTGTTTAAAAAGACTAATATTATAAAATTATTAATATCAACACTTTACCAAGGGGTACTACTGGTCTTCAAAATCCCACCAGTGTCATGTGCACCAACAGTAGGATTGCAAACATGATCTGACCCAGTTTTCACAAATATACTTGACACAAAGAGCAAGGAAATTTGTTTGGTAGATTATTTCTTTGTTGTAACAATGCTTCTTGGCAATAAATCTTATACTGTTGGAAAGCCTTTTAAATTTCCTTTAAAATAGTGCCACGTTTGTAAGGAACATGCATTTGAGGGATGAGCAGCAGAGCTGAGTTGTGGGTTGGGCACGTTCAAAATCTGCCAAATCTTCTCCGCCAAACAGCTTGTTTGGCTGCTGCCATTGACACTTGTTTTGAGCTTCTGGTACCCCCAGGTGCTGCCAGTCAGGCGCCTGGTATAAGTTTTATTACCAAGAAAGAAATWATTTACCAAACACACATTTCCTTAYGATATGTCCCTGAAAATCCCCAAGGGCTATAAATTAAAATGAAAAAACTTGAACTTTATTTTTTTTGCAAAAGACAGACTTGGAAAAAGTTGTTGCAAACACAAACTTGCATTTTTGTATTCTTTGCATCTCAGATCTACCCAGATGAAGGCCACTTTATTCGCAGTGAAGCAACACGGCAGCACCTGAGTCAGTCCCTGGTGAACTTCTTCGAAGAGTGCTTCAGGCTACCAGAAAGAGTGTTTGARGAGGATATGGAAGAGGAGGTTGAAGACGAGGGTTAGGCTGTTCTCGTGAAGCCCGCGTGCCCTGCCCTGCATCGTCCCCATTTGTTTGGTCATCGGCAAACCTTCCGTCGTGTATCCGTGCTCGAGCACAACCAAGGTGTCCATTTTGTGCAACCCCCTGCTCATGTGCTTCAGTTTCKCTTGCCATGTCCAACAACTGCCTTTCTGACAGACGATGGATCTGCCATGACATGTRCCCTCATCCTTATACTCCGAGTTGGACTTCTAAAGGTCCTGAAGAGAGCCCACAATGACTGGTGATCTAACATGATGTTTTGGAACAAACGGACAGTCTCCTACACAGCAGGATGGACCTGCTCTCTAAAAACAGTGGAGAGGAAGCGTCAGCTTTCACAGACATCCCAGCTGTGAGGAGGAAAAGAACACATTGTAGCACATGACTTGTGGGCTTGTAAGATATAAAAAAAAATCAGAACCCTGTTAAAAACACTTGGCAGTGTTCACTGGGGGGTCTGGAAGTGTGCAGATGCAGGAAACGTTGCTATTTTTAAAGTTGCGATGAACTTTTCTTGTTGGACTGTGGCTGTGTCTGTTGTCCCAACAATATGTAAAATAGCACACCGGTTTTCACCCAACTATTACAGAAACATTTTCTTTTAGAGATATTCTTTGCCTCAGTGCTGACTATTTTTAATCTTGTAATTTCTTYGTGTGTTTCAGTGATGCTGACAAGTTTTCTCTGATTTAAATCCAAACAACAGTTTATCATTAATTCAAGACRTTTTTTTTATGTTCTGCTACAATCCAACATTGTTTAAAAAAATCATGAGCATTTTTATGTTTCTTTTATTCGCCGTGCCTTAATTTGTTAGATTACATCCAGCTGCATTTATCAACTACAAAATAGCAAACTTCCACTGGAAACTGAGAACACCCAATTATAAAATCTCCGTTTAGTAGCCTTATCTCAAGATAGTAAGTTTATCATCTCACAGTTTAAAAGTACTTAGTTACTTGATGCAGTGGCAATAGTCGCTCTGTGGTAAATTCTTTGGAGTTAAAAGATATAAAGATGTTTTGTCAGGATGCACAGATGGCTTTTGAACAACTRTAGTTTAAAACGGCTGCCTTCTGAAGGTAAAGTCAGCCTTTGAGAAGCAAAGTGCTGGAGGACAAAAGTCAGCCACAGATATTTGATCAATTATTTGTTTTTACCAAAAATCATCATTACCCTAAAGCTGAAAATTGATAAGTTCAAATAAAATTCATTTTTGCAGATCTTGTCAAGTCCAAGACAAATGAAGCTGTTTTGTCAAAGGGGTTCATTCTTGTAAAAATTGGATTATTTCTCAAGACAACTTAACTACCCTTTGATTGTTGGGAAAAAAAAAAGCTATTTCATACCAAGATGAACTTTAAACTTTTGCTCTTAAGGTTGGCTTAGTAATTTAGTCAAAATAGTTTTTTTGGCTTTTATAGATAATAAAGTGATGATAGCCATTTTGTGAAACACGCCTATTTAGTTTCTCATCAACAACTAAATGCAAAACAAAAACCTGACMTGTAGATTGCTTAGCTTCAGGAAGCTGATAACCTGGCTAGCTTTTTGACACTCAGAGCATGTTTTTTTTTTAAATCCAAACAAAAACAAGGCTATGTACTTTTGTGTTAAGACGTAAAATCCTGTTGAAGTACCAGCATCCCGAAGGTGATGGTAAATGTTTTTAAACCCTTTTGACGTGGGCACATKACCTGTTCAGCCCTTCTAGTTTTATGCTAATATATTTAAGAAGTGCATTTATTTGTTTACAAGAAATCATGTCTATTTATTGTAACATCTTAGAATTTTTAGTTTTTATATTTTAAATGTGATCACAAATTACACAGGCATTTTTTTTTTCATTTATTCAGAAACTATTTGCAGTTTTGCAAAGTAACAATTGCTATTGCCAAGAACTGTTCAAAAAGACAAACATAAAAGCCAAAATGTAAGTGATCTGTGCTGAAAGACTGAAAAAGAGGAAATATTAATTTTAAAAAAGTGTGATGTAACTACTCCCTAGTATGAAATGTAATAAATAAATACATAAATGTGAGGTCAAACAAGAGGAACCATTGGGTTTTCTGAAAAATTAAGCAGAAAGAAAAAGTCACAAGTGAATAATTCAAAAGGCACATTTATTTTCTTTATTTTCAATTCACTTGACAATCTATGTTGCATTTCAGTGCATGTTCAGGCATTCTTTGCTGCCCTTTCCCCTACAACTCAGCTCAACATGGTTATTTTTGACATCTTGAATGTTTCTTACTGGACTGCATAAAAAAAATAAGATTTCCAGTAGTAATGTGATTGGAATCACAGTCTCGTCAGCTTGTTGTGTAAATGTTATTCCAATATAATTTTCTTCTCAAGAGACAAACCAATGTTACCAGAGTGTTATTTGTGCATAACATATTTTGGAAGTTACATTTGATTGTTCATTTTTGTTCTCCTGTTCTTGTTGTTGACTTACTTGAACGTGGACTTTATAAATGCCAAGAGAAACAACCCTTCTTTCTAAAGGTGGAAGACTTTTTTCCCCCCAAGATGTAATATTTGTTATCCAAAGCATAAAAGGAGAATAATGGCAGATTGTGGCATGAAAGTACGTGTTAGAATTAAAGAAGTAGATATTTTATCAGGCATTGTCTTTTCTTCAACTCCATGGATTGTTGATCTTTAAGCATCAAAACTACTGGAACGTGTTGAAATATTTCTATATAGTTAGGTGTTTAAGAAGTAACCTACAGCAGTATTTCCCAAAGTTGGGGTCAGGACCCAAAGTGGGGTCCTGAAACATCAAGGTGGGGTCCTGAAAAGATTTTCTGAATTAATTACATTTTTGCCTTAATTGTTACAAATGAGTGAGGTTAGTATATTCAAAATGGATAAATGTAGTATAAGAATATTGTTACTATGCCCATGTTTTGTTGACCTGATACAAATGTTTATCATCCAAAAATAGTTGGGAGCACAGGTCTCTGCCATTGTTATTTTGTGGGTCAAAAGTTGATAAGTTTGGGAACCACTGTACTTTGGTTCCCAAAGTTGGGCTTGGAATCCAATTATGGGTCATGAAGCACCTTGGATAATCTCCAGAAATCAATTTAAAGGGTAATAAAATAATTGCTG